GGTCTCCGCGCAGATTCACTATATTGAAAGGCAGTTTTATTTGTATAATCCTCATGTTTGCTCGTGACTTGCAATCGTAAGGGTTTGCGGTCTCTTTTAGTTGTCTGTTTTTTTTTTTTGTTTTTTTTTTTTTGCAGCGTGCCGCCCAAGAGCCTTTTGTAATATTTGTTTTTGAAAAAAATTATTTTTCAATAAATAAAGCTTTAGTTATTATTACCTATTGTGTTTGCAGACTCATGTCCTTTTCCCTCGAGTCTTTGGGCTCAAGCGGAATCCTTTTTTAGCAACGAGCCGCTAAAGTGCCTTTTGTGATAATTATTTTTTAAGACAATTTTTTAATTGATAAAGCCTTCGCTATTGTTACCTGTGGTGTTTGCAGAATCGAGTTCTTTTCCCTCGAGTCTTTAGACTTTTCCCTTTTGTGATATTTATTTTTGAAAAGAGCATTTTTGATTAATTAAAACCTTTATTATTGCTTGTTGTGTTTGCAAACCCATATTCTCAGTTCCTTTGAGGATTAGGCTATATTAAACACAAGTCGTTTTCAATTGATTGATTTAGCATTGTGTAGCGAAAGTGCCTTTTTAACTTAAGCATTGATTGCCCAATTCCGACCGCTCTAAAGACCTATTTCCCTGTGTGTTCTGTAGAGTTAAAGTGGGTAAAGTGAAGTGAACGGATATTTTATCGTTGAAAGTTACTCTCCTTTTCTGTGGTATTTGCTAATATGTCTGGATTGAGCCACTTCAACTGCGAGCTTTTACCCGATGCTAACACAGACGACCATTTAATTTGCCCAATATGGTAAGGTTTACTTTTATTGATTAGTTAACGTATTGTCTTTCAAAACTTGTCTCGATCATAAGTTTTTTTAGTTTATTTGCCCTTTAATCTACCGGGCCATACGAGGCTGAATTGTTACGGCGAGTTCCATGAACGAGTTAAACTTTAGTGAGAACAGCAGCAACCTACCATCACTTAATTCTACACTGTAGTTCTCTTTAGTGATCGCCGTGACATAAGCATAAGCCGACATAAGGACAATAACAAGAGCTAAAAATGTTCTTCTTGTGCTTATGCTATGCTTGCCTTTCGGAAATCGTAAGAACATAAGAGAAATAAGCGTTTGTTCTTCTTTGTGCCTCTGCGCTAGTCAAAAGTAGCCCTAACTCTCAACAACCGTCCCTTGTGAGATCATTCAATTCTCGTTAAGGTTCCGTACGAGCAAGTTTGCCCATGTGAGTTGTCACTGGACGTCGAGGCTTTGCTTGTGCGTGCTAAGGAAATTGTGAACTTTTCCTTGTCTAGACCTGTCGAGCTTCATTGCGAAAGAAAAAAGAAAAGCTGACGACAAGGGAAGAGTCAGTTAAACTCCAAGTTCGGCAAAAAAGAGAATACAGATCAATCGCTAAGAAGAAGCCCCAAAACAAGGGAAATTTATGGCAACTGCGTCCTGACCTCAAAACTCTAGCGACTTAGTTCAATGCGTGCGGTGCAAAATATTTAGTGGAAGTGCATAAAAATTCCTATTCAATCTTTAATAAGAGTTTGAACAATTGACAGTTCACATTCTCTTTTGGCTTGTTAACTTGGCAATGGTTCGTAGCTCATTTACGATTAAAATTGATCAGTTTGTTTTTTTTCCCTGGCGCTCACTACCGATTCCTTTTCCGAAGGCTTTTACCTTTAGTCCGGGTCCTTGGCTCATAAAAGTGTTACTTACATAAAAACAAACACTTTTGTGTCCATCATCAAACACTTAGCCCGGTGTTCTTTCTAGTCTAACCATATCTTGGAATTTTTACTCTGTTAATTTTAGTCACGGGTCTGGTTGCTCAAGGCAGATTTATTATTACTTTTAGGGAGAATTTTGATCATCTTTTGTTAAATTCATGAAGTATCCAGCAAACATCTTGTGTTCTTTTGATTTTTGTCCTGCTTTCATATTGGGTTAGTGCTAGTCGGTTATCAAAAGACGCGATTCGGCTGATTACGGTAGCCAACGCTTGCGCTCATGTTTAGGTTTTTTGCAATTATGCGTGGGTCCCTGTTGCGGGGTATACGCTACGTGCTACCCTAGACGGGATCTGATGCCAGTTGTATGTTTATAAATCTTTACGTGGATCGAAAGCTGTAAAATGAGTTCACGTATTTTTTGGCCACTGTTGATGAAATCGCGTTCTGTTTTTTAATAAAGAGCTGATGAACAGACCCGTGTCCTTATTGTGCGGACACAGTAGATGCCAAGAATGTATACATCAGCTTATTTCAAATCAATCCGGAGGTGGACGGG